TGATCTCACTCATCTCCACTGTTCAGAATCTGAAACTCCTTAAACATGATGCATTCTGTTCTCCTGGTCTCTCCTGCTCACAAGCCTTTCCAGGATTTTCTTCCTGGTGTCAGAGATGGTATCCACATAGGGTGGCTGATATAATAATAATAAAGTTGGAAAGGATCTTGGAGGTCATCTAGTCCAACCCCCTACTCAGGGAGGAAACCCTATGCTATTTCAGACAAATGGCTGTCCAGTCTCGTCTTAAAAACTTACAGTGTTGGAGCATTCACCGCTTCTGGAGGCAGGTTGTTCCATTGGTTAATTGTTCTCACTGTCAGGAAGTTTTTCCTTAGTTCTAGGTTGCTTCTCTCTTTGGTTAGTTTCCATCCGTTGCTTCTTCTCCTGCCTTCAGGTGCTTTGGAGAATAGCTTGACTCCCTCTTCTTTGGGGCAGCCCCTGAGAGATTGGAACACTGCTATCATGTCCCCCCTCGTCCTTCTCTTCGTTAAACTAGACATACCCAATTCCAGCAACCATTCCTGATATGCTTTAGCCTCCAGTCCCCTGATCATCTTTGTTGCTGTGATGGACTACAGTGAAGGGACAGTTTACCAGGAAGGCAGGAGCGAATCCCAGAAATGGGTGGTGATGGTGTAAGACAAGAGGCAGCATAGTCCCAAGCTGGCTCATGATGGAAGACCAAAAGATACATAAGATTGCATTAAAAGCCCAATCAATTATCACTGGTCCTTTCTCCATCAGTGAGACAGACAGCCACTAGAGCCAATCAGTGCTTGGCAGCTGTGCCCCGTGCTGACCGGCCTCGGTGGTGAGTTTTGGAATAGAGAGGTGCCTTTTTCAGACCTTCTTTCTAGGGCTGTGCTGAGTTTCAGATTCGAAGAGGATTCAGAGCACATGCAAATGCACACTTATAGCACCCATCAAAAACCCCTTAAAACGGTTGTGTTGTTTCCTGGGCTCACAAAAGTGCCTTTTGTAGTTTCCGCATGATCCTTGGGAAAGGTGCATCATTTAAGGTATTCTCAACACGTAGCAGGCGTACGCCTTGTTCATGCAAGTTATATTTGTCTGCTTAAATCTTTTTTTTTCTCCAGCATTAGGAGGGATGACTTCCCAGTTGATTAGATTTCAGCCCTGCAAAATAATTCTGCGGAATTAGTTTAACCTGTACATAACTGGATTTATTTGTGGCTTAATCAAAACTCCTGGGATTACTTGGCCCATTCTATTTGCTGCGGGAGTTCCCATTACACCTTAACCCTTTGTTGGGCCAGCTGGGCCAGAGAAGACACCGTGTGAAGAACCGTTGTATGATCTAGCACAGTGATGGCGAACCTTTTAGAGACCGAGTGCCCAAAGCCCACCCCCCACCCCCGTCCCCGCTCCACCCTGCCCACTGGGCCACCCGCCACCTGCACGCCACAGATCACCCAGGCAGCCCAGCAGCGCCATGGCAGCCACACCCTCTGCCCATGCTCCGCAGCATTATCTGTGTGTGACGGGGCGCAAGGACAGAGTCTTGTCCCCGCTGCCTGGCTACCATGTCCTTGGTTGTGATGCTTCATGTGGGCCGCGCCCAGGGGTGACTCTCCTCTGGGGAGGCTGCTGGTGAGGAGGGGGCTGTGGGAGGAGGCTGGGGAGATGATGCTTGTGCCCACAGAGAGGGCTCCGAGTGCCACCTCTGGCACCCATGCCATAGGTTCGCCACCACTGATCTAGCACTTTGGTTTTCCTTCCTGTAGAGGAGCCGTGTCAGAGGGCCGACCCTTCTGTCATATTTTTGCGTTGCATTTGAATTGTTTAGTTACTCCAGAAGTTCAGTCAAATTATGCCTTCTGAGATGAATTGGCTTGTCGCATCTCTTCATTAGTTATGCTGCATGGTAATATTTTCCAACCTCAGCAACTTTAAGATATGCGGACTTCAACTCCCAGAGTTCCCCAGCCAGCATACTAGCTGAGAAATTCTGCAAGGTGAAGTCCACAGGTTTTAAAGTTGATCTAGTAGACCAACGTGCCCTTCTGAGGATTGGGTCAAGTTGCTTAGATTGAGATATCAAACTTGGAATAAGAGCTACCGGTTTTGCCATATTTTGAATTGGTTGGTTTGGAGCACTGTTTCCCAACCTTAGCCATTGTAAGACATATGGACTTGAACCTCCAGGACTCCCCAATCAGCATTCTGGGAGCTGAAATTCACATATCTTAAATAGCTAAAGATGGGAAACTCTGGTTTTAGATCTATATTTTCTCGACCAGCTAATTTCCAGATGTCTGTTCTTCAATAAATGATTGTTAAGTTGCACACTAGTGGTACCCATGCTGATCTGAGGATTTGGAAATTGAGGTGTACACATCTGGAAGAAGCCCAGGCTGAGAAACACTGGTTTAGAGGATTCTCTGAGTACAACCATGGAGGTTTCTAGACAGTTTGACATGATGCACGATCTCTGCTAAGGCATTGCAGTGGCTCAACAGTCAAGAGGCTGGGCTTGTTGGCTGGAAAGCCAGCAGCCCACGTTTGAGTCCCGAGCGCCACATGACAGGGTGAGCTCATGCCTTCGCCTCAGATCCTGCCAACCTAGGCGTTCAAAAGCAGGCAAATGCAAGTAGATAAATAGGTACCACTTTGGTGGGAAGGTAACAGTGTTCTGTGAAGTCACTCTGGCCACGTGACCGTGGAAATGTCTTCGGACAGCGCTGGCTCAGTGGCCTTGAAATGGAGATGATAGTTGGCAATGGCTTAGCAGAGTAAAATCCGCCGGGACTCCTTTTTTTAATGATCTTTGTTGATTCAATAAAGTACCCTCCTATCAATTCTGATGTGCTAAGTTTAGAATGTGCGTTCTGACTCATCTCTGTCCCATTTCTATGTTCATATTTTATTTATTCTACTGAAAATATGTTACAAAAAGCCAGAAGGAGCAATGGAAATATTTTGGCAAAGCAACACATTTTTTGTTTATTTTTGGAAGGTCAGGCTGGGAAAGGAGGACTAAAACCTCCTTAAAGCCATTTCTCAAACACCTTGAAATTATCACTTTCTATATTTCTTTTTTAGCTTGTGCTGAATAGGGTTTAAGCATATTGTAAAAAAATAAAATAAAAAAATATCAATATAGCAATGGTAAATATGTGTATTGCATGAATGCACCGATCGTTTCCGATTTCATCCTTTTCCATGCATATCCATTTTTTTAAAAAAAAATTGATGTTTGGTCTTAAAAAGGACCATCTTGTCATTATTCCACTTCAGTTTGCAAATAATTTTTCTCGTGTTCACTGCCCCTTTAAATCGATCGTGAGAAAAATTGGTGGGTTGTCTCTGCGATCTCCCAATTCTTGACCTTTAAAGCTCTTCTGGTGCAGTAATAAAAAAAATGTTGTTGAGCAAAACATAATCAGCAGTTGAAAAAAGCAGAGAACACGAAAAAGGAGAGGGATGGAGATTTTTGCAAATTGAACGGATCACCATCACCGTTCCTAAGGTTAGAAACAATGCATCAGCAGCTACATATTTAACAATAGGCTAAGCTGTGGAAATGGAACCCCTGTCCATATCCCTTTCAATGCAGAGTATAATTTATGTTTCTTGTGACTTGAAGGCTGAACACAAATGAAGGAAAATAACATTTCCTCCATTACTGTCACCTGTTTGCTGTTTGAAGAACAGTCGTGCTATGCTGTGTGTTTAGAGCTGAATGCAGGAAAGTGTTTTTTAATGTTTTCTTAGTCCCTCCTGGTGTTTCAAGTTAAAATTGTTGGATATTTTCAGAGCAATCCTTCTGATTCTTTTTTTTTAAGAATTGTGGAGGAAGGAAAACAGGAGTCGACAAGACCAGGGTAAAAGAAACAAAGTCCTGGGATTAAACAGGTCTAAAAGAACTGGAGTTCAATCGAATTCATATTACAGGTGGTCCTCAATTTACAACAGTTCATTTAGTGACCATTCAAAGTTACAACGACACTGAAAAAAATGACCTATGATCATTTTTCACACTTTCCACCACTGCAGCATCCCCCAGGGTCACGTGATTTACATTTGGGTGCTTGACAACTGACTCGCATTTATGACGGTTGTAGTGTCCCGGGGTCACATGATCCCCTTTTGCAATGAAAAGAAAAGTCAGTGGGGAAGGCAGATTCATTTAACAACTGTGTTACTCGTTTAACAACTGCAGTGATCCGCTTAACAAAGGTGGCAAGAAAAGTCGTAAAATGGGGCAAAACTCAACACATTTCACAGTTAGCAACATAAATTCTGGGTTTAGTTGTGGTGGTAAGTTGAGGACTACCTATATTTCTATTTTCTATTTCTATTTTCCTAGAAATAACCCCCACTGAACTAAGAAGCTTATTTCTGACCCCGTCAGGAAAAAGTATCCTACTATGAGCCCCAATCTTAATACATTAAGGGACAGGCTCTGTTGAATCTTGTTTCCTTCTTATTGCATTCTTACTGGACCATATGAATTACTTCACTAAAACCACAATCTTTCCCAATTGTTCTGTGGGTTGACTCGCCAGTGGAAATCACACAGGCTAGCTCCACGGAGTAGAGAATGTATCAAGTCTGATTATCCACTATCTACAAAAATCCTGGATTTCTTTAGTTTTGCAATCAATTCTGCAAACTTGCGGGGCATCAAATTCATCCTTGAATAATGAGGATGTAAAAGAAAAATGTTGGCATGGCTGAACACTGGTCAGGTGCAAGCACCAGACGCATACATGCAGAGTTCAAACTAGCTACTTTATTGTTCTGTGCCTGTTTCACAGGAATCTCCCCAACTGGGTAACATTTGATTGGGAAAGACTAGATAAGGTTCAAAGGCATTGGGGTGGGGGTGGGGAAAGAGTATCAAACCTTGCCCTCTTTTGTTTACATAGCGAGTCCAGGCTAATTCCCTCTTAAGCCCTTCTCTCATCTCAGCTGGCTGCTCTCAGCATCCCTAGAAAACCAATGTAATGGGCTGGTATTGCCTTTGGTTACAGCTCTGGGTCAACCAAGAAGATGGAGTTGAAGAAGGCACAAGTGAAGTACAGAATGGACACTTGGATCCAAATGCCACTGACTGCCTCTGTCTTGGGAGAACCCTCCAGAACCGAGACCAGATGAGAGCCAATGTCATTAATGAAATCATGAGTACGGAGCGCCACTATATCAAACATCTGAAGGACATCTGTGAGGTAAGCCAGCCTTTTCTTGAATATGTTGTTTAAGAGTCACGTTTCGGGTGGAGATGGATTAGGGCAGTGGTTCTCAACCTTTTTAATGCCACGACCCCCAACTGGTCGTAAGTCAAGGACTACTCAACCAGTTGTAATTCGAGGACTACTCAACTGGTGCAGCACCGTTTGCAGAATGGGACTTTTGGCGGGCTCAGCAGGGCAGAGATAGCCTGGACAATTCCTATTGGCTTTTGAAAGCCAATAGAATTAGACTCTATTCAAGAGAGTCTCTTCTATTGGCTTTCAAAAGCCAATAGAATAAAAGGGAGTAGCACAGCTAAGGAAAAGGAGAAAAAAAAATGGCAGACTGCGTTGTTTGGCGACCCCCGTGAAATGGTCGTTCGACCCCAAATGGGGTCCCGACCCACAGGTTGAGAACCCCTGGATTAGGGGATCAACTGGGTGAATTTCATCTGTCTGTCTAACCTTGAAGTTCTTTGGGCCAATATAAGTCGTTCGTTCACAGTCCCTTTTTCCAATTTAATTCTGAAAATCAAATTAGGCAACAGTTTGTGTACTGTAGACATTGGCATATAGGGACATCTAGTATTCTGGTGAACTTTTGTTGGAGTGATAACAGAATTAAATTTGGAGGTAACCTAATCGTAGCCCTGCCCCCTTATTCACCTGATTATGTTTGTCATCACTGCACTTTTTAATCTTCAGCTTCGGAAAAAGGAAGTGATAAAAGAATCTCCGCAACCATGTCAGAAAATCCAACTTCTTTAAAAGGTTAAAAATTTCACTCTATAGCTTGATTTTTAAAAGAACAGAATAATAGAGTTGGAAGGGACCTTGAAGGTCTTCTAGTTCAACCCCTTGCTCAAGCAGGAGATCCTATACAATTCTGGACACATGGTTGCCTAATCTCTTCTTAAAAACGTCCCATGATGGAGCACCCACAATGTCCGAAGGCAGTCTGTTCCACTGGTTAATTGTCCTCAGTGTCAGAAAATTTCTCCTTATTTCTAGGTTGAATCTCTCCTTGATCATCTTCCATCTGTTATTCCTTGCCTGGCCTTCAGGTGTTTTGGAGAATAGGTTGTCCCCCCTTCCTCTCTGTGACAGCCCCTCAAATATTGGAACCCTGCTATCATGTCACCCCTGGTCCTTCTCAACATTAGACATACCCAGTTCCTGAAACCGTTCGTCCTATATTCAATAATTCACACAGTAGGGCACACTAGCTTAAAATGGGATCACATACTTTGTGGTTGAGTGCATTTTGGGGAGCGCAGCTATTGAGTAAGTATATTGTATGAACCACACCGTCTCATAAAACCATCAGATGGTTGGTATGTGCATTGCTGTGTGAACACAGGAATTCAGTTTTGTTAATCCAGATATAAACTTCAGCATACCTATGAACACAGCCTTTGAGTATTAAAAATATTTTCCTCAGAATATCTCTGAAGGTGTTTCAAGCATTCACTTTTGAGAGTAGAAGGGTGTTTACATTTCAGTAACTATGCAGTAGCCAACATTTAAGGCTTATACCCGCCATGAGCAGCCATTGATGGTCTGATGCAGAAGTGGTGGCATCAAAGGTTCTTGCAGTGAATCAGAGCTTCTAAGGAGTTAATTTATATGACAGCTGGATTGCTGTCCAAGCGCAGGAAGTAAATTGTTGTTATTTAAATCAATTAAGTCTTTTGAAAACTGTGTGTGGAGGTTAATATGAGTGTCTCTGTGTTTGTGTGTCTCTGTGTTTGTGCGTGCAAATATCCAGCCGTGACGTTTTTAAAAACAAAAATATCGATCCCATTCTGTGCCTAGGGGGTTCAAGGATGAAAACACGAAAAGTATTTGTTTCAGTAGAACTATAATGGGAAAAAAATTAATTTCATGCTATTTGAGGAAGTCTTTTTTCACTTTCAGCCCTATAAAAACATGACAATTTGGCCCTGCGTGCTTGCTTTTTAAAATTGATGTGGCACTTCACATAAAACCAATCAATTCTGATATAGTTGTATGGATTTATGGTGGGTATTTATCATTGCCACCTGTCAAGCTGGAGCACATTTGGTTTGGTAAATATGCATTTCCAAATAAACAATATGTAAAGAAATATGGAGATAATATTGATGAAGGAACACATGAGCGCTTAAGGGAAAACAATTTAGTGTGGCAAAGGAACTTTGATTTTGTTTGGTATAAGTGGGAGGGAGAGAAAAACTCTAGCAGGCTTTCCAAATTTGGTCACTATACAGTATATATATATATATATATATATATATATATATATATATATATATATATATATCAAAAATAAAAGTAAAAATATGACTCTTGGGAATATCCATACTATTAAAACAATGATCACCAAGAGAATGCTTTAAGAGAATAAAATTTAATTAACCAACCTAGCTTTCGTCAAAATACATTTGACATCGTCAGGGTTAAAAGGCAAGTATAGGGAGTAGACTTATATATCTTTATCAAGCGTCCTGTAATCAAGCGTCTGCTTCCGGCTCTTAGAGCGCGTCATTGGCCCCAGCTGTTCAAAATGTAACCCAAGCGTGCCTCCTTTAATACACATTCTTTTGTTCCTAGCTCGCATTCCCTCACACAGCACTTGATCGGTAGCTTTGGGATTAAGTGGATTCAGGATTAAGGTCTCCCCCCCCCATGTGTAACTCCTCCATCACTCCGCATACGGTCGCACCTAAGGGGTGAGGGTGGGGGGGTATCTGGATTGACTCCAGTATCCCCCTGAATCACAAGTTCACCTCGGTCCTGTCCATTCGTCCTTTGAGGATGCACTATGGATTCTTTCCCCCACCCCATGTTGTTCTCTTTTCCATCTTCCTTCCCGTGCACTATACTGAGGGGTCTGCTGTCCGTTCCAATCACCCTCCTCCCGCACATGCTCAAAGCGTTCTTCGCTGCCATCCCATTGGGAGCGCTCTGTTGTTCAGTCCGTTGTTCGTTATATATATGTTTTCTGAGGTTTTCGCGGGTGTTTGTATGCAGGTCTTTGGTTGTTCGGGTTTTCTCCCGCGTAAAATTGGAAGTGTCTTGGCGACGTTTCGACGAAGTCCCATTCGTCATCTTCAGGCTGGTGTTTTCAGCTTCGTGCTTCGAACTGAAAACACCAGCCTGAAGATGACGAATGGGACTTTTTGGCACCAGGCATATTTATTGGTTTGCAATTACTTGTGGAAGTGACTGCATGTATGAGGTGGAGCCATCTTCAGCGCTCTCTCTGTAAAAAGGTGGGAGAATGGCCATGCTGAAGATTATGACCATGCCCTTTTGGATGAGCAATAAATAGGCTCTCTTAAGCATTGCTCAGAAAACAGTTCTCTAGGCTTCAGCAGCTCTCTCCAAGGAAATCCTTCCATTCCCCACCATCCAGTCAGAGCTGAAGAAGCTTCTTGCATGAGAAGCGAAAAGTCTACAAAGAAAAACAAGAAAGTCCAGTTGCCTCTTGAAAAAGCAGCTTTGGGAGCACTCTAACCTGAAACAAGCACATCTTTCTGCTCTGCTGCACACCCAGAGGGCAGAATTGAGGGAGATCAGATTGTTTGCTCAAAGTAACTGGCATCTGAGTCAATTCCAGGTCGATTCCACCGTTTTCCATAAGTTGCACCAACAGGTCAGTGGATGCTTCCAATCCTGGCCTACAGGTAGTCCTTAGCTTACAACCATTCGTTTAGGGACAGTTTGAAGTTACAAGGGCACTAAACAAAGTGACTTATGATCCGTCCTCATGCTTATGATATGACTTTTGCAGCATTCCCACCTGTCAGGTGATCAAAATTCAGCGCTTGGCAACTGGCTTGTATTTACAACGGTTGCAGCATTTCAGGGCTGTGTGACTGCCCTTTGCAATCTTCCTACCCACCCAGCTTCCAGCATGCAAAGCCAGTGGGGGAAGCTGGATTCACTTAACGGCAGTGTGATTCACTTAACAATGGCAATGATTTGCTTAACAACCGGGACAAAAAACGCTCGTAAAATAGGGCGCGACATAAATTTTGGTCCCAATTGTGGCTGTAAGTTGAGGACTGTAGTTCCTGCCCCCCCCCCGCCTTGTTGATTGGGAAACATATTGCTTCAATACAAGAGAATATTTGTAGCTCAGGGTTGAAATGGGGGCTCCTCAGTGCTCTCTGAGCCTGGTTGTTTCCTTGCAGACATTTCATGACCCAACTAGGTAACATCATCAGTACTAGTGCGGACAATGTTATTTAGTGTGGGTAATGAAACATCTGCAAGAAAACAAGCAAGCTCAGGGAGCACCAAGGAGCCCATATTGCACCCTTTCCATCCATTTAGTTCAGGGGTAGGCAACCTTATGCCAGACAACCATAAACCAACTTTAAGCTCAAATATGGAAGTTAAGCAATTCACCTGCCCTTTAGGATCTAGAATGACTAAACCAGGGGTAGGCAACCTTTGCTCTTTTATGACTCGTGGACTTCAGCTCCCAGAATTCCTGAGCCAGCATGGCTCAGCTTGGAAACCTCTCCCTTTTCCCTCAGGATGGCCGGCTCAGGAATTCTGGGAGTTGAAGTCCACAAGTCATAAAAGAGCCAAGGTTGCCTACCCCTGGTTTAGTCATTCCAGGTCCTAAAGGGCAGGCGAATCGCTTAACTTCCATATTTGAGCTTAAAGTTGGTTTATAGTTGTCTGGCCTCAGTTTAATTGTTCTCCCGGAATTTCCATGTATAAATGGCAGTGACAGCCTCTAAGGAATTGTGTCCCTGCTTCTCGACTGATGCTGCAATCTGCCGAAGGAAAACAGTGGGTTGCCTCTTTTTTCTTTGTTAAGTTTTCCACACTCCCCTCCCTTCTGCTCAACAAATGGCAGCTTTTAGAAAGCCACCCAAATGAAAGGTTGCAACTACTGTGTGCCTCCAGCTAGCTTTAATATTAACAGGCCTGTTTCCAGCCTCTGAGGACTGTTAGCATGTAGGCTGTTCTCCCTAACTCAGATGGAGCATTCTTCCAAA